CCCCCAATTGCCCCTGGCTCAAAAGGTTGCCTACCCCTGAATTAAGCCATCAGTTAAATTGGAGATTTTTAAACAAAAAGGTGCAAAAGTGAGTGTCTTAAATTAGATTTTCACCATGAGAGATAGTGCTAAATAGCCAACAAATTCTACAGTTTCCAGCTGGCTCTTTAACCAAATTTGTTTTCCCCTCTCACAAAACTACTCATTGTTAATCTTTAATGATTAGGGAATTGCAAAGTTTAGGTCACAAAATCCAAGTATGTAGATCAGAGAGGGAAAAACACCCCTCCAGATGTCATGGAACTGAAAACCTCAGCAGCCTTAGCTGATATAGCCAGAAGAGTGTTGGACTATGATTCTGGAGATCAGGGTTCAATTCCCAGTTTTATTATTATTATTATTATTATTATTATTATTATTATTATTATTATATTTATATCTCACTTTCCCCCCAAGAACTGGGATTCGAAACAGCACACAATTAAAAAGTACAATAAAATTAAAAACTTACAAAAAATGAGCATTAAAAAGATAATGAAACTATTATAGTATTAAAACAAATCACACCATAAAATAATAAAAGGCAATTCAAAAAGATAAAAACTCTTCAAAATAGTTCAGTGTAGAGGCGAGTAGTAGCGATAGTTAAATGGAAGGAGAATCCCACTTAGCAATGTTAGGGTGAATCTGCACTGTACAAATAATGCAGTTTGAGACAACCTTAAGCACTGTTGCTTCATGCTATGGCATCCCAACATTTGTAGTTTTACAAGATCTCTAGCCTTCTCAGCCAAAGAGTGCTGGTGCCTCACCAAACTAAAAATCCCAGGATTCTGTAGGATGGAGCCATGATAGTTAAAGTGGTGTCAAACTGACTCCCACTAGGATAGGGTTTGTTTTGTGCCTTCAAGTCATCCTGACATCACAACTTTAGCAGATCAGCAGATTTGACCTATGGCATGGTGGGGAATCTATGGCCCTCTGGATGTTGGTGGACTACAATTCCCCTAAGACCAACGCATCACATCTAATAGCCAAGCATGCTGGGAGGTTTAGTTCTGCAACATCTGAAGCACCACAGGTTTCCCATCCCTGACCTAAGGAATATTTGGGAGAGTTGAGGGGAAGAAACCCTCTGATTTTTCTAAAGCTTCTATTTAGATACAAGCAAATGTTTATCACTATGGTGCAAGCTATTTCTGTAAAACATACCATATTGGAGGAATAACATACAATAGCTAAATTAGAGAGCGAGGAGGAAAGTGCTTTCCACTTAATCTGCTAAACCCTACTGCAATGATATGCTTTGACATGTCCTTCTCAGAAGTGTAAAGGAGGCTGACAACCTAGTCTGGAGCTTTTGTGAATGGCTTCGCTTGCTCTTACAGATTAGAATCCGCCAGTCCAATTTTAATATTTTCTGTATCTGACTGTACTTAGGGTTTTAATGTTGTACTATTAGGACCAAGAATGTGCCTTGCATGCAACTTAGAAGAAAACCTCTGCTCAAGACTCCTGCCTTGGAAAAGACTAGAGAGTCTATAGAAATACTACTCACAGGGCTGTCTAAATATTAAGGAATGAGTCCCATTGTTACTTTCAGTTGGAGCAACTCAAGTTGGACGGTGCCCAAGAGCTCCCCAAATAGTCACTGAGTGGCGTGGGCATTGTTGTTGGTTTTTGTGTGCCTTCAAGTAGTTTCCGATTTATGGTGACCCTAAGGCAAATGTATCATGTGGTTTTCTTGGCAAGTCTCTTCAGAGAGGGTTTGCCATTGCCAACCTCTGAGGCTAAGAGACTGTGACTTGCCCAAGGTCACCCAGTGGGATTTTACATGGCTGAGCTGGGATTTGAATCCTGATCCCCAGAGTTGTAGTCCGAAATT